AAAATCTGTATGTTAATACTTCAACAACAGCGCATTTACTTTTACAAAAATACGCACTGTTTAACTTTTTTTTTTTTTTTTTATAAATAAAAGGAAGCTGTTGCTTCAATTTAACATTAAAATTCATGCATGAACTCGTCAATTTTTACCCGCAGGCAATACGCAGATGCCCTGGCATCATATGTCGGAATGACGCATTGGGTGGCAGTAGAGGTAGTTGTGTCGTGTAGGGACGGATGTTCGCATGTAGGTTGCTTCTCAGGACAGACCTAATGGATTTAAGCGGATAAGGGGACGACTTTTCCACGGGCCTAGAACCAAAACGCAGCGGAGGCGTGGTCGATTAAGGACGGTCATCTCCACAGCACACTAACGCCATTCATCAGACTTGGCCAACAACAGGATAGACGACACACCAGAATTTCAAACATTGTCACTCACCACGCCTGAAAAGGAAAGAACAGAACTTCGCGAGCAAAAGTGTTCTGGAATGCAAACTACTGACATGACTTCAAAATTACACAGGATACCTCTACCCATACAAACCAAATGCCCTCTTCATGACTTTGCTATGGCGAAGACCCCCGTTACTCTCTGCTTGTGAGCCATCTTTCTTTCTCTGCTGTTGTTGGGACATTCATCTTTGGCTTGCTCTGATCTAGATCAGCTGAGCTCCCTCTGGTGGCGAAAGTTGTTCTGACGCTACTCTGCCTTGTGGACCTGGCTCCATCTGGATACTGCTGCTCTTCTCCCTGCTCTGTGCCCTCTGATCCTCCCCTGGTTCCTCTCTGGTCCTGCCTGGCTCGCCATCTTGTCCTGATTCTCCCTGTTCCTGGCCTCTGCTGTAGAGCTTTTCTTCCATCCGTTGTCGTCCAAGCACTAGGTCGTTACTGGATAAATTAAACTCAGTCCATTTCTCCTTTCCTCAGTAGTTCAGTCTTCTTCCGATATTTTTGGATCATGAAAAACAAGCTATGCTCCAATCTCACAGCTGTTACGCAAAATGTGACTCAGTCCATAAAAGCGATCACTTAGGTGGGTCGTTCAAGCATTCAAAAGTGCGTCATCGTAGCTGATTAAAATGCTTCTAGGCTTATGAATTGATGGTCGAAATATTGGTTTTATGTATGGGGAAAAAAATTCAGAAATAAATTGCCTGCAACTATAACCATCGTCCGTATCTTCCCAACTATAAACTCACTTGAGGTTCAATTTTTTCCTAATAAAAGGCAACAAGACGGGCTTCTCCATTTTTAAAAACTTACAAAAAAAAAAAGACCCTATTAACGTTACCGACTAATTTTCGGTTTGTCTGGTGTTTATCTTAGCGTTAAGCTGTTACGGTTTGAAGACATAAAAAACATAAGGTGTTTTTTTTTAAAGAAAATCGACTGTAACCTTAGTCTTCGCTCCCACTAGTTGTCATATAGCTGCGTGTCGTCTCGACCGCCATTTTGTTAACTTTGCTAACGTCGAGAATGAGAAAGTAAATATTGAAATTTTTTTTTTTAAGTCAAGTCACTTCATAAAAACCTCGTTGAAAGAAGAATATACGTAAAACTCGCTTAATAAAATAAGATAACATGGTCATAGCTGCCCTTTGCTTTAGCTATTAGCCAGCTGGTTAAACATTACCGTTAGCTAACTTAGTAAAATAAGCGATAACGTTACATTTTCCGTCTCATAAATTACATATTTCATTGTTTGTCTTTTCTGTTAGAAACAGCTTAACGTTAGTCAATTATTTATTAAAAAAAAAAAGGCACTTTCACTTAAAAAAACAGCTTTCATCAAATCTTCTTCAAGCTAATTGTTATTAGTAGAAAGCCTTAATATAGTAAACTGCAACAAAGTATAAGAATAAGGGCGAAAAAAGTTGTCAAAGAACAGTGCCTCTAAATTATCATAAAAAAAAAAAATAAAACCGAATAATACGCAATCACATCACCAAATCAACGAAAGCTCCCTGCCTTTCTTAGCGCCTCAACCCGTCGTGACGCGCTTTGTTGTGGCCTCGGTTTTTATAGACCGCTGTGAGGCGGTCGGTTTCAGTTCCTTCCGCCGTGTGATGAAAAATAGTTCCCCTCAAAAGAATCTTGATTGATTTTTTTGTTTGTTTCAGAGCTATATAAACCAGACAATATATGTTGCTATGAACATTCATGAATATTGTTATAGGTGAAAATGTGTATGCAATCAAAAACAAAATATCATGGTTTTATTATACATTGTGTATTAAACGTTGTGTAAACACCTCATATAAGACAGAAAGTCGAACTAGAAAGCAAAAGTTCACCAAATTTAAAAGCAGGTGACATGGGAAATTTTATAAAAGGAATTCCCCCACAATACACGCTTTAACGGTCACAGCTGCCCAGAAACTCAGAGTGATTCACAAACGCACTTTTCAAACAACAATGACGTCAGAAGCGCAGTGCGGAAGAATACAACATGGGTAATACAAGCCCCCTCTTTCAATCCGGCTCAAACCGGCTTTAGTGCACGGATCTTGTTTTCTTTTTACTGTAGTGCCCCAATGCGCATGCGTTTAACATTTTTGGACTAAATGCCAGAATGTTCTAGTTTAATCCAGATGGAAAGTTATGCGAAAACATTTAAGCTTTTTTTGGAGGTCAAGACATATACATTATACTTTAGAAGGTTAAATAAATGGCCCATCATGATAAATTAAGAGATTCTGACCAATGTTTTTGTTTTGATCTAGTCGTGAACTTAGGCTGTGTGAGTAAATGTGTGCTGTAACGTTATTTTTACTCACTTGTAAACCGTTTCCGATACAAATGAATAAAGGTAGATTTAAACTGAATTCAGAAGCTGAAATCGTATCTTTATCACACCGAAAGAATGGGTGCGGGGCAAACGAGACCTCAAGCACGTCTCCTCTCTGGTATTTGTGCTGAGGCTGCTGACGGTCACATCGGGACAGTGTGAAGGGAAGGGGGATGGGCAACACGAATGCGCTTAAAAAACACGAAATACCAGTAGATTGCCTGTTTATTTCATCATGGGCCAGTATAAACCTGTTTAGTGACGAATGCTTTCAGTGCTCATTTAGTAAACACCAATTAATCTGTTAAACGGTTTTATATTACACTGCAAAATACACACAATCGTTTTGGGATTAAGTTTTTGCATCATCAGAGTTAAGAAACAGTATTTAATCTCCCAAATTGATGTAAATGATAGAACTTGTTTTTAATTCTTAAAGACTAATTTATTATTCTTGGCAGCTGTCGTCATTTGTGCGATAGCTTTTGGAAATGACTTCGCAGATTCGTCATCATCATACAGTAACTTTCCGACCCACTGCTGCTAATATATCATTGTCTCGTTTTATTGTACTCCATCGTGCCATTTTGCATCACAACACGGTGTGTTATTTATTTATTTTTCGTAAAATGAAGCTCTTAATGTGACGAATGTGGAAACGGGTGGAAAGACCTGCATATTTTGGGCCTGGGTTTTCATTCGAAAGTTGCCACTAGATGGCACCGGTCTCACATTAATCACATGACATTCTTAAAGTAAAGTCCATTTGCTCATGAATAGCCTAAATCCTATCAGTCCTCAGTGTTGGGAAGTAACTAGTTACATGTAACTAATTACGTAATTTAATTACAAAATAAATGTATTTGTAATCAGTTACAGTTACTTAGAAAAAATGTGTAGGCCTAATTAAATTACAGTTACTTATGAAAATATTAACGATTACAAATCTGATTTTTTTTTCACACACCCAAATTTAATTGACTTCTTTCATAAATTGCACTGACTGCTCTAATATATGACACATCAATGTTTCAGGAGTTTAGGACACAGAATGGGACACATGCTTATTTGATAACGGTTTTATTTTCTATTTGGGTTTATGTATAGGGCCTATGTATTAGGCTACTTAAGAATAACAGTTTTGTTCCCCAAGGCATTGTTAAAGGCCAGTGTTTCCAGTCATAACTATGCAAATATTTGATTTAAAAAACAGTAGGCTATCAAACTATTTCTTGTTATGGTTTTAAATTTGTATTTAACCTCAGTATGATCTCAAAGCAAAAAGAGGGCCTGATTTTGTGGTAGCTGTGCTTTAAAATTAAATGATTATAATCTTAATTCAAGTGATGAAGGATTGTGAAAGTCTGACAGTAATCAGTGTTGATCAGTATACAGTACACTAAGGTTAAACCTGTCTGGTTTACATGTTTGAAAATGATTAACAGTTAAAAATGTGAAATTTAGAAAAGTAATCAAATGTAATCAGTTACATGACTTTAATAAAGTAATTGAAATAGTTACACTACTTATTACATTTTAAACAGGGTAACTTGCAATCTGTAACCTATTATTTCCAAAGTAACCTTTCCAACACTGTCAGTCCTGAATGAAAACCTTCAGCCAGTGAAATAATATATCAGTCTTCATTTTTTATTTAGTCTTTATTTATCAGATTCCATGTGTTTTGAACATGAGCATGAGAAATGGAAGTTGACTGATGCATATAGGCCTAATGTTTTATGGGTAGTTGGTGCATGTGCTATAACCTATAGGTTTTTAAAGTTTTATCACCTTTTCGATGATGATTGGATTTCTGAAGTCATAAATATGAATGCACAATAATAAAGTTATTAACAAAATATCCATGTCAATTACACTTAGGCATTATAAAGCAAAATATGTTGTTTGTAAATAGGTGATAGTATATGTGACAAGAATGCCATATGAAAAGAAACAATTTGTCTATGCCTTTGAATATAAATGTCTTCCAATAAATCCATTGTGATGTAACTGATTAGACTTGTGAATTTCATTCACACCATTTTGTGTATGTAACCCAGATACCATGTAATGCAATGTCCTTTCACCAAAGCCAATCGATTGTGTTCCAGCTGGGTTCTCCCCATGAGGGTGTGTTTTCACTGACTTCAGTGTGGAGTCATTACATCAGAATCAGATGGATATTGGGTGACAGAAAGCCCTGGCAGCATTAAACTTGTTTTACTCCTGCTGCTCTAGCCTGGTGGAGAAACATCTGCTTGTGAAAGGATGCACTTTTGAAAATATTTATTTAGAAGATCATTCATTCTTCAGATTCCTGGAACTTTAACAACAAATTTTAAACAGACCATAAAACACTGCAAGGATCACATGCCCAAATCAGAGCTGAACAAATAATTTTCAGGAATTACAAGGGAGGCATCAACAGAGTAACATAGCTAAATACCGATAGTGTAGCAAGTATAAGAGATGGAAAGATACGTCACACCTGTGCGTGGCTCCTCAGAGGATGAGGTGAAAATGTACAAACATTACCATCCCATACCTCAACAGCATCCTCACAACCATCATTACCACCACAACCATTATCAGCACCATGGATCACACAGGTATGTGCTTAAACTTTCTCTGGAGGATATGTACAATTAATTACAATTTTCATTGAAGCTACAAAATAAATATAAAAACCTTGAAAAACTTAAATGAAAACTAGAAATGTTGATTTGGCAGCTAACTGAAATAAAATAAGTTTAAGATCTTTAAAATATTTTTTTTTTAATGAAAAAAAAAGCTAAATAAAGAAAAAATGAATATGACAGAAGCATACAATAGAACTACTAAAACTAAAAAAAAAAACTAAAAAAAAAAAAAAAAAAGCTAAATGTATAAATACTACTGTATAATAGTATTTAAATAAAATAACACTGAAATATGTACAGGTGAAATTCACTTTTTTTCATTAAACCTTTATTTTATTTTACTAGGTTAGTCCCTTGAATTTACAGAGATGACAAAATTTCAGTTTGAAATGTTTTTGACTTCTAAAGGTAATAGAAATTGAATAGAAATATAATAGTTTATATAATAAATATAAAAGAAATATTATATTTCCAGGGGCAGCAGATGCAAATGTCTTTCTATCTATCTATCTATCTATCTATCTATCTATCTATCTATCTATCTATCTATCTATTAGTGCATTTATTTAATTACAAAAAGATAACAACCTTCAAATTCTTTCCTCCTTATTTTCTACTTTCTGCAATTATGATTAATTGAAACTATATGTCATTAGTATAGTGGGAAAATTGTACATTGTGGCCTGTAACAGAAAAAAAACTCAGTATATATGTATAGAAATATGTATAATATGTACATTCCCACCCAATTTATGGCTTTTTGTTTTGCATATTGCATTTTTTTCTGAGATAATTACTGAGAATTGTTATTCAACACACTGTGAATCTCCCTACTGTTATTGTGTAAATGAGTAAATATATAACAAGAACAGATCACATATTGACATTATTTTCATTATTATTCATTTCAATTCCTTATGTAACCCCCTTTTAAATCAGTCACAGCTCTTCAAGCAGGAA